AGATCCTAAGCGTGGGTTCTGAGAGACACCAATTTGTTTTCTGGAATGAGGGCTTTTGCTTGGGCTTTGTCTAGAATTAGGTCCAAGTATTCTAGGTGTAGAGAAGGTCAAAAAGCAGATCTTTGGAAGTTGATTACCCAACCGAAAGCCTGAAGCATCTGGACGGCCTAGTCAACATTTGCAGATAGTTGAATGGGAGGGGTGTCCTTAGGAAGAAGGATGACTAAATAACCTGTGACATGGATGCCCTGAGATCTTAGAATGGCAAGAAGAGGTGCAAGTACATTTGTGAATACCCTGGGAGAAGAGAATAGGCCAAAAAGGCAGTGTGACAGACTGGAAGTAATTGTCACCTACTGCACAGTGCAGAAAGTGCTGATGAGGTCTATATATTGCGAATATGCAGATAGGCATCCATAGACATCCAAGATACAGAGTGTTTCCTTCTCCTCTGTGAGGCAATAATTGACCTTGCAGATTCCATGTGAAAGTTTACAATCTGAAGATATTTGCTTAGGAATTTTAAGTCCACAATAGGAAAAATACCCATATTGGGTTTTGCTGCTATGAACATGTTTGAATAGCATCCTTTGAAGCGGTCCTGTACGGGTACTGGAACAACTACCCTCTGGGACAAGAGATGGTTCAGGACGTTCTGCAAATCTTATTATCCTCTGGCAGATTATGGTTGGTTTGAAAGAACAAAGTGTGAGGGTGTAGAGTTTGGAACTCTGTACTCCTTTGAAATCACCAAGTTCAAACACAATATTCCCAATGCACATTTTCCTCAAAAATGGCTAAAGATGTGAGTGGGGTGCTGCAGCGATCACCAGCTGGAAGCTGAAGACAGTCAAAGCAGAACGTTTTTGTATCTTTCATTACACCTACACTGCATTTCACACTTGAACGTTCTGCCGTCTTCCCACTGTGCTGACCCATTTTGTGCTATAAAATAAAACAAGATTACAATGCGCATGCTTGCATGCTTGCATCTGACCATGCCATTGGAGGATGGTACATACACCTCCAGCGGTGCCTACCAACCAGTAAACACTAACCCCCAGGACCTTTTTCAACCATCAGGATCTAATGTAAACAGTTCAGGCGCAAGCTTATGTTTTTTTTCCACAGTATAAAATTAGTTGGTAATTGCAACCACTGTTTGTCTCTGCTGCATTACCCGATCTAGGGCCTCAATGATGGCTATTATGGTATCACCAAAGTACGTATTATTGGAGGGCTTATGACGTCATTGTGATATCAGGAGCGGAACTGAGCCAGTTCTTTGCTCACTGATTGGTGGATGGTTGTTTAAATAGTTTCTATTCTGCACTGCACTTTGTCATATGCTTGATGAATCGGTACTGCGAGGCTGCAAAACACAGCTTCTATAACTATAATGTGATTGCTAAATAAAGATTTGGTCCCCTTCTGGAGATCCTTGGTGTGCTGGTTCCATACTTTATCCTTTGAAATCACCAACTGAACCCACAGGTCTGTTATGTCTATGACTCAGACATAGGGAAACTGTGGCAGACTACCCCCACTCCTTGAACTCAGGATGCCCATTCATTGACAAGAGAGCTTGGGGGGGGGGGGGGGGGCTGGTGTATTTTCTGTTTCAAATCTTGTGACAAAAGGAAGTGCTGAATTTTGGCTTAGAAACTGAAGCCTGGGTAGAGGGTTGAGGTGCTCTGTGCTTTGAGGAGGAAGAAGTCCCTTGAGGAATGGGGTTTTGGAGTCTTACACTGTGACAGAAAAACCTTACTTTTTGTGACATCTTTGATGAATCTGTCAAATGCTTCACCAAAGATTGATGTTCCTAAAAGGACATACATGTAAGGCATCTTTTACAGGCAGCTTCAGCTGACCAGGCTTTGAGTCATAAGAATCTGTCCATGCGAACAGATATCAGAGCCATCCTGGAGATCAGACCTGCTCTACGGTGTCAACACAAAAGAGCAAGGCTGAGGATAATTGCTGTATTTCTTAGTTAAAGTACAGCCTGAGAATACAGGATTGTGTTGGTTGTCCATTGCCAAAGTCCAATTAACTGCAGTCAGCCAGGCAGAAATTGCAGGAATAACTGTTGCAGAGCTGGCCTGCTAAAGTAAAGAGATTTTAAGAGTATTCGGGAGAATTTTTGAATGAAGAAATATCTTCAGTGGATTTAGTAGGAATTTTGTTTAAGACTGAGATGGCAGGGGTTACTACCCCTGGTTTGAATTCAAAGGTGCCTTTTTCAACCTTGCTATGTAAACAATGAAATCTGCCAAAATGTTATTGGTGTACAGTTTTCTACATCAGCCATGTAAGACTTTCAACGTACTTAATATTTATTTTTACTAACCAGTGCACATTTGACTTATGTTTTGGTACCTCTGTATTTTTTTAGGTCTACTCACTTGGCTTCACTCTCCCGATGAGGGCCAAGGCCCACATTCCATGTGTGTTTCTCGCACCCTGTTCAAAACGCACTGCAGTTGCGATCTGCAGCGGGTGTCAATATAAAGTTAATGACACCCCAAACGCAGGTCAAAAACACAGTGCACACAAAAGTACCATACAATGTGGTTGCAGTGAGTTTGCAAAAGTAGTGTATGAACTAATTTTGCTGCTGTGCAGTGCAATGCCATTTCAGCCCATTCAAAATGAAGGATCTGAAAACACACTGCACAGACCTGCATGTGAATCACACAGGAAAGCACAACACATTCCTGTGTGATTCCCAGTGTGAACCTGCCCTAAATACGTTCTTTATTTTACTGTACTGAGTATGCAGTAGGATGGGATTCCATGATGGGAAAAGGCAGTATTGGGAACAAGGGAGGAAGCCCTCAAGTTTGCCCCTTGCAGTTAAAATATTGCTTTTAAAATTCATGCCTCACATTAACCAACAGGGCACATGTCATACCTGACAAATCATATTCATTTATAAAAGTATGTCTTCCCAAAATGTCAATCCTAAGTACCCTAGATCACATGGCTACCAGAAGTGTTGTGGATGATTGGTGCCATTAGGGATTGATGAGCCATTACTGATACACTTGCAGTAAAATAAATGTATCAGAAAAAAACACAATGTAAAACCTGAACATTTATTACATAAAAGTAAATAAGACCATTCCCCTCTAAAAATCATTACAAATTACACATTGAAGCAATGTTTATATATCATGCACCAATATGTTTATTTGCATTAGGCAGACATTTAAAAATTAAACTGGATTCTATTTACCAGCTGCTGAATTTGCTCAGTGCTTTCTATGCTTCTATTGTGAGGAAGTCAGATATTGCCTTTAAACTCTAAAACATACAGTAGTTCTCAGTCTTACGATCTAGCTTCAGTAATAGTACGTTATGCAGATTTCCAATCAAAGACACAGATGAAATAGCCACAATCAGAACAAGGTAGGCATGTTTCCTTTAAGTTTTTATTGAGCACTTGTGACTGCGCTGTTGATGAAACAGGAGAACAGGGCCGAAATCCTCAGTGTAAAAAAAAAAAAAAAAAAAAAATCAATGGTCATTGGTCAAAACAAGCCCCAGCTCCAATTGCTTAAGTACATAAAAAGTAAAGCATCACCACAAAGTTATAGTTTTAAAGTAACCATGTCACTAGAGGACTGAAACTCAAATAGAGCCTTCTGCAACAGAGGATTACTCATACCTACATTGCTTAGCAAGCAGAACTTCAATCCTGGCTGTCTTGAAGAGCTACAGTGACTTCTGAGATCTAATTCTTGCAAGGAAATCGGGCATCCACAACAAATGAAAGTGCTGAATTTCAGCTGCACATGCCCTTTAGGAGAGCGCTGTCTAAATAAAAGCTGAATTCGGAGAAAAGCAAATATTGCCTAAATTCAAGAGGCATGTGTATTCCTACTTGAATCTTTGGTGTTTCCTCAGTATTTCTTCGAGATTTGTGGAGTAATATGACACTAAAAACTTTAAATCTCTACAGGATATCCCTGTAATAAAGACCCATCACTGTTGCTCCCTCTCCTTTTGCAGGGTAACTAGTCTTGTATCCGCCTCCTCCCCTCCTTTTGTTTTTTTTCTGGAGACAGCCTGTAGTAGTTGATCCTGCTGGGTCACTTGCAAAGCTCAGCAAAGTGGTGTCAGTGCTACTTTAACAAGGTAATAACTGAGTCTGCTAGGACATTTGGTGCACACAAAAGCGATTTATATTTTTTTTGCGGCTAATGAGGAATATATTGGAATCAAGTTTAAGTAATCATCATTTGAAGGATGCTTCAGCTTCATTGAAGCATGAGCAACCATTTGGGGGGCTGTTGAGTTTCCATTCCCTAGATTAATTTTAAGTGAAAGAACACACCTATCCATTCATATTGTTTTATGAATCAAAAATCCTAAAAAGCTACATTTTCATACTTCTAGATATTGATTACTGCAGTGCATCTAAAATTGCACCTACTCCTTATTGACATTATTTGTTATTAAAGAAGAGCTATAGGCAGGAACACATTATTAAGGTTTTTGTGATATTTTATAATAAAAAAATAAATACAGGTCTAAGTCATGCACGTCATGAGATGTGCTATGGGCCATCACACTTTCTACTTAGATCCCTAGTTCGTATGATTGACAGGGTATATGCAGATGCTTTGGAACTAGTTTTTTCATGCGAGGGTTTCAAGATTTGTTAGGGTGTTTTTAATTGTTTCAGCTATTGGTTTACAAGTTTAATTAGGATTCAATTAAGGAATTGATTCTTTACTTTACAGTGAAGCTTTCAGTTTTGTCCTTGAAAAACTCCCTATTGTGCCCTTGTGATAGATAAGTGTGAGATTTTGCCATCGTCACTTATAGTCAAACCTGTTTTAGTTTAGGGCTCCTATTTCTAGGCCGCAAAAAAACTATTTTGGGGACTCATCCTTATAGACACTTTGATCTACACGAAACCTCACTAAAGCTCCTGCTCTACAAACTAGCAGACATTTGCTTTTTGGACAATGAAGGTCATACACTGGTTTTCACTAAGTGTTCCAGGAACAGTTGTTTTTGTTTGTAATTGTAAGCCAGGTTGAACTGCTAATATCACATTGTATTCCAACTGATCTGCGAGATGGTCTTATTTGTATTTGAAAACTCTTATCCTTAGTCCGAGTTGGTATATCACATTGAGTAGATTTATGTACCTGTCCAGGAAAGAACCCAATCATAGTTCCAATAGTTTTTATAGCTCGTGGTCTGTATTTTCTTTTACGTGAAAAGGTTGGTCCTGATTTTTGTAGTGCTGAGAGTATTTCGGAGGAAGGTGTTGACATCTGTAATCTATGTTGTTCTAAAGGAAACTCTGGGAAATCTTGCAGTGGATAGGAAATTACATCTTCAGGCTGAAACATTCCTGTAACTATGCGCTGCTCAGACAATGGACTAGCAATATGCTTTTTGCTATTTTTCGTTGAATATTGCATTGGTGGACAGTCTGGAAATATAGTGGGGATAGCATCTTTTTTCTTCAAAAAGGGTAGGAATCCTCTAAGTTCATACATTTCAGGAGTAAAGTGCAGAGAACAGATTCTATAAGTTCCTCTTGTGCTGCTAACAATTTTTTCCACAAATCCTTCCAAGTCATCAAACGTTTGTTTCATTTGCATCAACCATTGCTTTACACTTTCCTTGTCAGGGGGAAAGGAGTGCAGCATTATGTCATCTGTCTTGTTTCTGGAAGAAGTGTTACATCCTCTTACCATACAAACTGGCATTCTTGTAGAGAAAAAAAAAATATATCATTATTTAATTGATAAAAATTATTGGAGAGAGACTCTCTCTTTCTCTCTATTTTAAAAGAGAAGTATGGCTTTCTTAAAAATAAATAAATATACAGGTGAAACTCGAAATATAAAGTTCATTTATTTCAGTAGTGCAACTTAAAAGGTGAAACTAATATATGAGATAGACTCATTACATGCAAAGCAAGATAGTTCAAGCCGTGATTTGTCATAATGGTGATGATTATGGCTTACAGCTCATAAAAAAAACCACAATCTCAGAAAATTAGAATATTGTGATAAGGTGCAATATTCTAGGCTCAAAGTGTCCCATTCTAATCAGCTAATTAAGCCATAACACCTGCAAAGGGTTCCTGAGCCTTTAAATGGTGTCTCAGTCTGGTTCAGTAGGAATCACAATCATGGGAAAGACTGCTGACCTGACAGTTGTGCAGAAAACCATCATTGACACCCTCCATGAAGAGGGAAAGCCTCAAAAGGTAATTGCAAAAGAAGTTGGATGTTCCCAAAGTGCTGTATCAAAGCACATTAATAGAAAGTTATGTGGAAGGGAAAAGTGTGGAAGAAAAAGGTGCACAAGCAGCAGGGATGACCGCAGCCTGGAGAGGATTGTCAGGAAAAGGCCATTCAAAAGTGTTCGGGACTTTCACAAGGAGTGGACTGAGGCTGGAGTCAGTGCATCAACAGCCACCACACACATGGGCATGGGCTTCAAATGTCATATTGCTCTTGTCAAACCACTCCTGAACAACAAACAACGTCAGAAGCGTCTTACCTGGGCTAAAGAAAAACAGACCGGTCTGTTGTTTAGTGGTCCAAAGTCCTCTTTTCTGATGAGAGCAGCTTTTGCATCTCATTTGGAAACCAAGGACCCAGAGTATGGAGGAAGAATGGAGAGGCACACACTGCAAGATGCTTGAAGTCCAGTGTGAAGTTTCCACAGTCTGTGTTGATTTGGGGAGTCATGTCATCTGCTGGTGTTGGTCCACCGTGCTTCATTAAGTCCAGGGTCAACGCAGCCGTCTACCAGGAGATTTTGGAGCACTTCATGCTTCCTTCCGCAGACGAGCTTTAAGAGATGCTGACTTCATTTTCCAGCAGGACCTGGCACCTGCCCACATTGCCAAAAGCACCAAAACCTGGTTCAACGACTGTGGAATTACTGTGCTTGATTGGCCAGCAAACTTGTCTGACCTGAACCCCATAGAGAATCTATGGGGCATTGCCAAGAGCAAGATGAGAGACATGAGACCGAACAATGCAGAAGAGCTGAAGGCTGCTATTGAAGCATCCTGGTCTTCCATAACACCTCAGCAGTGCCACAGGCTGATAGCTTCCATGCCACGCCGCATTGAGGCAGTAATTGCTGCAAAAGGGGCCCAAACCAAGTACTGAGTACATATGCATGCTTATACTTTTCAGAGGTCCGATATTGTTCTATGTACAGTCCTTGTTTTATTGATTACATGTAATATTCTAATTTTCTGAGATTGTGGATTTGGGGCTTTCATGAGCTGTAAGACATAATCATCACAATTATGTATGACAAATCACGGCTTGAACTATCTTGCTTTGCATGTAATGAGTCTATCTAATATATTAGTTTTACCTTTTAAGTTGCATTACTGAAATAAATGAATTTTTGCACGATATTCTAATTTTTCAAGTTTCACCTGTATACACACACACACATATATTTATGAAGGTGGATGCAGCATCAGTCCGATTCTGCATCTGTCCCCCGCCTTTTCTAAGTCTGAGAACTGAGCGATTAAAAACCACTGATCATTGGGAGTTCTCAGCTTTCACTGAGCAGAGAACTGGTGGCTGTCAGTGGACTGGGGGTGGGAACGGCTGGCTCAGGTTCTCAGCAGCTTTCTGAAATTGATAGAGTTAGGCCTGCAGATATTCTGGGGTTATGTGGCTTCTGCAGCTCACATATATATTTGCATAAGTGTGCAAACTAAGCCCCTTGTTTTAGTGTGAACTGTCAGACAGGGTTAATACGGAAATACTTGATTTTGTTGCAAGCTGGCTGGTAAGTGAGCTGGGAATTTTTGTGTGTGTATTTGTTTTTAGCCCTAACAGGTCACATGAGTGCAGAACAAACTGCAGTCCTGTGATCCCTAGGAAAATTATAGCTAAAATAGCTTTGGATATACTTCTCCTTTAACCAATTTATCTCAACATTCACAATTACTGTTGGCATCAGATTCGCCACACTGCTGATTGCTCATTTAGTCCTCATGCACACTGGACGTTGGACAGCTGCTGTTTTTTGGCTTTTTTTCTACAGTCAGTAAACTTCCCAGCATAACTGTCCCTCAATGTCTTGGTTCATTGACATCTAGCATCACCCAGCCCCTTCCTGTTGAGATCTGATCTTTAGAAATACTGGTGATGTTGGCAGAAAACACCTATGCTCATTGTGGGCATTTCTGCTAGGGGTGAGCAGCTCAGGGGAATGGCTTATGTTACTACCTTGAGGTTATTATGCACTTCTGTTATTTGTGTGCAGTGAATAACATTTAAGGCAGAGGTATCTGATCTCTCACGGTTGCTGTGGCACGGTAGTGTTTTTGCATGTAACACGTGTGGCACTTTTATGATATATTTTTTTATATTATTTGGATAAAGCACTATGTTGAGTTTTTTTCTTTGAGGTATATGAAGATTTATTTTTGGAGTATATCAAAAAGGTGGTTTGGAGACACGAAGATTTGAGAAAGTACTGATCAAGATATATTCTCTTTGGGATTTATTTGGACTTTGATTTTTGGACTCTTATTTTGGGACTTTATACACTAATATAGATTTTTGGGACTTATTTTGGGACTTCATACACTAATATTGAGTTTTCTGTAACCAAGTGTGCTTAAAGATTGATTGATTTATGTATGTACTTCAGGGGAAGGGCGGTTAAAGTGACTTGGTGGGGTATTAGAATTAAAGCAGGATAGTGCTGGATATCTAATATCCCTAATTACACTACAGGCTGTTTCCACTGCCACAAAGTCAACTTATTGACATGTCCTCACAGTATTTTTTGTTTTTTTGCTTTAGCATGTTACCCTACCACAGGCATAATTTGCTCTATAATCAATAAGAAAAGGTGCTACAAAAGTAATAACAGTTTTAGGGTTGAAACAAAGACTTCCAGTTTAACCTATGTGTCTGTAGGCATATGTGATTTGTATTCTCTAACAACTCCCATAGATTCAAACATTCTTTTTTGAGGAAAACTCCTAACAGGTTGTTGATGCTGTCAACACTCTCAGCTAGTATCACTTCCTGGAGGAGGGAGTACACATTTTCCTGCTCTAAAAGTAAAGGACCCTTACTGAAAACGAAGATTAAACCTCTTTTCTTCTAACCTCAAAATTGTGGCCACATGTCTTCTTCAGGGACCTTAAAATAAGCAGTTTATTACAGCTACTAAAGTCACCTTTAATATATTTGTACAATATAAACATATTCCCCCCGTAAAGGATAAGTTCACATTTTAGAAAAAATAATAAATGCACTTTTTTGCAGGTAAAAAAAAATGTGCATTTACTTTTTTTGTCTGCAGGGGCCTGTAAAGCATTGCACAAGCGATCAGATTGCTGGTGCCATGCAGGTCTCCTGCAGATCTGTCAGAATATCTTCATGCTGTGTACGAGCAAGCAGACATACTGACAGGAAGAATCAATGAACTACCATGGTGCTTCAAAGCGCCATGGTAGTTAATTGAGGATTACAATCTGACAGCCGCTAAGGTTACAGGGACTTGTAGTCTCTCATTCACAGAATGCTGTGAATGAGTGACGCGATAGGGCAGGCAGAGCCCCACATGGCCAAGTTTTTTTTTTATGTGACAGCTCGCGGGGGGGGGGGGGGGGAGAACATCCCCCGCTAGCTGTCAAAGAGGGGAGCAGGGGCCGATAAGATTGGGTGAATATGGGTGTAACATGTTACGCAAGGTGAACATATCCTTTAAGCACCTCTTCTCCAGAGTGAATAACTGAAATCTATGTAATTGATCCTCAAAACTGTGGACCCCTATCCCCCTTATTAATACTGTTGACCTTCATTGAACTCTAATTCCTTCCCGAGGATTGGGAATCAAACCTTAACTGCATGCTCAAGATGAGGCCAAACCAGTGCTTTTCAAAGGGGTAGAACTATTGATTTATCTTGTCTGCCCTTTTTTAAATACACAACAGTATTTTACCACCTTTGTTAGCTATGGATTAGCATTGCATGCTACTGCTTTATATGTGATTTACAAGCACCCCAGACCCTTTTCCACCACTGATCTTCTCTAATGTGTCATTTTTATATGTATTTTTTCCACTAAAGTGCATAACTTTACAGTTCTCAATATTCAGCCTCATCTGCCATGTAGCTTCCAAACACCCTATTTTATTTAGGGCTTCCTGTAATGATATACACCCTGTGATGAAGTTATTTCCCAGGATAATTTGGTACCGTAAGAAACACTGAAACTGAGCTCTTGATTACAACTTCTATATTATTAATAAAGAAACTGAACAGCATTGGCTCCAAGACAGAACCCTGGGGCACACCACTCATACTATTGATGTTAAGCTGACTGGTCTATGGTTTCCAGGTATACATCTTGATCTTTTTTTTTTGTAAATTGCTGCACATGTGATCAGCCATGTCACCAGCCATTTGATGGCTTGACAGTTCAGTTGAGTGATAACATCAGTGTATAAGTAACTGTAACAGTTATCAATCAAGGCGTGTCGTGAATGTACTTGTTTTGGGAAGCAGTGAAAGCAGTGGGTTTAGGTCCACTTTAATGCCTCTTAAAAGAGGTTTTTCATAACAAGAGGTCTTTCATAATAAAAAACACCTTGGAACCAGGGTGGATAAAAATCAATGATTTTTTTTTTAAAAAATCAAAAAAAATCGATTTTTTTTATTTAAATCAGATTTTTTTTAAATAAAATGCTTTTTGAGGAAAAT